GCGCTGGCCCGCCCGATGCACACGCGCGCCCACGCTCGGGGCGCTGTCCCGGCCGGAACACCACGGCGCACCTCCGCCGGCCGCACGCGCAGCGCACTGTGCGCCCCCTCGCCCCCAGGTGAGGAGTCGGCGCCCGGGCCGGGGTCAGGCCTCCGGCGCGGCAGGAAGGAGGGGGAAGCCGCAGCGACCTCCTGGGACGGCCGGGGAGCTACCTGTTGGGGTGCAGCGTGCACGTGTGTGCCAGTGCTTATGCGGGGCGGAGGGTGCGTGCGTGCGGCTCACTCAGATGTGGCTCGCGTGAATTTATATTGGGAGGGGGATCCCGCTGGTCCAGGACTCGGTGGGGACGCGCAGGGAATTTCCGCGCCGCCCCCGCACCCTCTGACCTTGGCGCTGGGTATCCGCAGCCTGGTCTTGGGGGTCGGTCAGGCCTCTCGGGAGCCACCTTTTCTCTCGCCCCAAAGGCAGACTTCACTGCCAAAACTTCCCCGCGTCCTCCACCTCCGCGCCTTAGGTCGGCCAGGCGACCCAAAGCACCCCTGCTTTTGCGCACCGCGCACCGGGCGCCCCGCCCAGAGACCTCCCCGTCTCGTTCTCTGCCCTCCCTGCCCCACTGCCGATGGGTGGAGAGGGAGTCCCCCTCTCCCCGGCCGGCCGGCCCGCCCGCCCGCCCCGCGCGCGGCCCGCGGCACTCACAGGTAGCTGCCGCTGGACAAGATGAGAAAGATCTGCGGGCAATAGAGGGAGAGCAGCGCGCCGCGCGGCGACAGCAGGAGCATGGTGGGCCGGCGCTCCTGGCGGCGCTGGGCAGGCCCCGTGCGCAGGGCGCCTGAGCCAGCTGTGGCCGGGGTCTCCACGGCCCTCCCCGAAGTAAGGCGGCGGCGGCGGGCGCTAGGAACCCTGGCGCACGGGTCCTGGCGCAGTGGTCGCCGGTGCCCCGCCGCCAGGGCCGAGCATCGCGCTGCGACTGGAGTGCGGGGCGGGGGTGGGGTCGGCAAGGGACAGAGGGTGCGCCTCGGCCGCCGTCTGGACCTCCGTCGGTTGATCGGTCGGAACCGGCTCTGTCACTCTCTCTGGCTCACGTCTCCAAGTCTCCAGAGGCACGCAGCTGCCATTGGCCGCGCCGCCCCTACATCCGCCTCCTCCGCGGGCGGGTTTTTTTAAAGGGGAGGCTGACCCGAGCTCGCGGCGGGAGCCGCCCCCAGGGCTTGCCCAAACTGCCTTGGCTGGGTCCCCTTCCCGCAACTCCAGCGAACCACAGGGCTCTGGCCTGCGCCGGAGGGTGCACCTGGGGGGAGCGCCACAGGGTAACCGCGGGGGGGCGTGCGCTCCTCTCCGGGGCCGTGCTGGGCCATGTGTGCTCTGGGGTGCACGCATGTGCAGGCGTGTGCCTGTGCGTGCCCGCGGGGGCCTGGGAGCGTCAGCGAGGGTGCAGGTGTGTGCACACAGATGCACTGTGCGAGCCGTGTCTCTGCCCGCGCGCGCCCTTGGGTTTGGTGACGCTGGCTGCGGGTCGCCAGCACTCACCCACTGCGGCCCACCAGGCCCAGCCTGGCCGGGCTCACCTGTGCACATGCGCACTGGTGTCCCCGTGGGTCCGCCTCGGAGTCTCTTCCGAGAGGCTGGCCGCGGAAACGCACCCCCGACAGGTGCACAGACAGAGGCCCCACCTCTGGCTTCCCCCTCCCTTCTTTCGGCCGTGATAGTGTGGGGCACACTTCTCCCAGCCATCCTTCTCCCAGGGACGTTTTGTAAAGCCGGGAAACACAGGCTTTGAGTCCCCCCTCCGGCTGGCAGCCGCGCCGGGCCGCCCAACCGTGCTCCTCCGGCCGCCGTGCGGCCCTCCCACCGGGGCAGAGGCACCGCGCAGCTAAGACGACAGGGAAGGAGAGGTGTCTGCAGTGCAGCCACAGGTCCCGGGGCAGGCGGGTTTCTGGGCTTCCGCACTGGGTGTGGAGAAGTCCTGGCGTTCAGGAGCGAGGGCTGCCTCGGCCCCTTCGCTCCCCCGGGCGGGACCCTTGGGCGGGTCCCCCCCCAAGGCTGCCAGGCCGCTCCGCTCTCCCGGCTCCGAGGGCAGGAGGCAGGCCGGAGCCGCCGGTCTGGGAACTCCATGGCCCCTGTTCCCGGACGCGGAGCGTGCCCAGAATCCGGACGACCCCCGGGCCTGGCTCGGCCTCTCGCGGGGCTGGAGCACTGAGGCTGCTGGGTCCCCAGATGAGGGGCTGTGACTCTCCAAGCCCATTTGTTTTAAAACTGTGTACAATCCGAGACTCATGTGGTTTGGGGACCCCGACCCCCATGGGAATTGTGAGGGCTGGGTTCTCCGTGCCTGCTGGTCTGGGAGCTCCTCCCCCAGGGGCCACAGATCTGCACTGGCTGAGGGGCGTGTGCGGGGCGGGGGGGGGGCACTGCATGTGCACAGGTGCGGGCTGCTGGGCTGTGATCAGGGAATGTCTCCCCCACACACAGTATCTCTGACATCCTGTCGGGACTTTGGTGGCCCTGAAATCCCAGCTCCCCCTCCTTGCCTGAGGCCCCAGCATACACCGCGTGCAGCCATGCCCTGGGCTTCTGCAGTGGCCGTGGTGCCAGGGTCGCTCACAATCAGAAAGGTCGGACCGTCGTGAACAGGTGTTTATTGCCCCCGCCCCCAATCTCATGGCAAAGGCCCCCAGGCCTAACCTTTACAGCACCCAGTACAGGAGGCGCCACTGTGACCCCACTTTCCCAACAGGGGAAAGTGGGCTGGGGGGCCGGAGTTCACTCAGAGCCACCCAGACCTGGTCCTCGGGGCACTGGCTGCCAGGCCAGGTAACCCCTCAGGTGGCATCTGGGCGCAGCCGCCCTGTCCTCCCCGCCTTGTGCGGCCCAGATGGCTTGCTTGCACAGGAAGCAGGCCGCCCACCTCTCCCGAGATCGAAGACGGGTGGGGCTGAGGTGGTGGCCGAGGCTGACCACCCCCCTTAGTAGATCCCATGGTGTCTCTCTGGGTTTCCTGGGTGTTCATGGAGGCCTCATTCCTCCTCTCCCCAAGAATGAGAGTGTGCTTTAGGGGCACAACACAGGGGTGGGGGTTCGGAGTGCCCACGCCAGGGTTCCTTGACGGCAGCAGAGGGCAGAGCCTGGGCCGCCAGCCGGCTCTCAGAGGCACCCCCAGAAGACAGGTCCTCATGCCTGGGCGCCCAGGGTGGGGTGCTGTCCCTACGTGAACACTGGCCACCTTGAGGTCCAGGACAGCCAGAGGTGCAGCCCCTCTTACAGGGGAGAACAGGGGGCTGGCGGTGGGGGATGGGGAGGGCCAGTGCTAGGAGTCCAGGCTGGGCCCTGACTGCGCTCCCTTTGCTGTCTGGGAGCCGGAAGTTGGGGCTGCTTCCCAGAGTCCCCCTGCAAGCTGCTCTCCGAGGGCTCCTGCTGAGGGGTGCGGCCTGGAGACAGTGGCCTGTGGCAGAGGCCAGAGCCGGCTCCAGTCCCCTGCCACTGACTCTTGTGGACAAGTGGCTTGGCCTGCCCTGCTGGGTACCCTAGTCCTTAAAAGGAGAAGAGAAAGGGCACTTAACTGCAGGGTCGCCAGGAGGGGACAAGGCCTGGGCGCTGAGAACCAGACTGCAGAGAGAGCCTGGTGAGGGGGTGCCCACTGCTTTGGCGGGCACAGGAAGGGTAGCTGCAGGGGCTGCTGGAGGGCCCAGAAAGCAGTGCCTTCCCCGCTCCCCGCGGCCCACCCCCCCCCCCCGCCCCCAGCAGCCTTGGATGCGCAGGCTCTCACCTCCCATAAACAAACAGCCGGGGACACAGCCTACACACGGCCCACAAAAGACAGCCACCAGCAGCTGCAGGCGCGCCAGCCAGGTCTGCAGAGCCGAGGCTGGGGCAGCGGGCTTCCAGTCCTGCCCCCGCCGTCGCCGGCCTCAGTTTCTCCACCAGTGGAATGGCGGAGGGGGCAATGGACGAAATCATCCTCAGGTGGAGCTTGGATCTCCGGGCGGAGGAAGCTGCGTCTCTGCCCGCGGCGCTGGCCCGGCCCTCCCTCGCGGCTGTTCTTCGGCTTTGCCCCCGGCTAGGATCCACCTACCTCCCGTCGCCGGCGGCGCACAGTAGGCGCGCAGGGAGCGGCGGGGTGCGGGGCTGTGGGTGTCCTGGGCGAGGTGCACCTCACCCCCTGACGGTCACGCCGCCCCCCTCACCCCCACTTCGAGCGAGGCCGAGACAGACTCTGTCTAAAGGAGATCGCAGCTCGACAGGCAAGGACTCGGCTGGGCTCAGGAATGTGGAAATACGACTCGGAGCAGCTAGTGCAGTGAGCGCGGCCCGCCGGGCGCCCGCCCGCCCGCCCGCCGGGCCGCGCCAGGGGGAGCGCGGCGAGAGGGGGCCGGGCCGAGAGTCCCGGGAGGGCGGGGGCTCGGGGCCCGGACCGAGCCCGAGGCGGCCCGGCCGGCCGCGCAGCCCATCCCGAGCCAGCCGGACAAGTTGTCAAGGTAATTTCAACACGTCCGGGTGATGGATAGGGACGAAGGGCCGCGGCGGGTGCACCGGCCTGCGCGCCGGCGGCGGAGGAGCGCGCCCCCCGCCCGCAGGGGCCTCCCCGACCGCCCCCCCCCCGCTCCGGCGCGCCCTCCAGGCTGCGAGCGAACGGCCGGGCTCAGCGCCCGGCGCAGCCCGGGGAGGGAAGGCGCGTCCCACCCCCGGGGCCTGGAGCCCAAACAGGTGAAAGTACGCGCCGGGCACGCTCACCGCTACCCGCCAGTCTGCCCGCGGCCGCCTGCGCGCCCTGCTCTCCCTCCTCCAGCCCTGAGCTGGGCGCCCCTCGGGGGGACCTGTCGCTCCAGGGGCTCGGCCGCGTCTTCGCCGGGCGTGAGCGAGGGTCCGACACACGGGCCAGCCCCAGATCCTCGAGAGCCGCCCACGGCCCCATCCAGTCTCCACGTTCCCGCGGGGACGCCCTGAAGGGGGGTACCGCCGGCGGCCCGACCCCGGCGGCGGCCCCTGCCCACGGTGTTACTCACCCGAGCTTCACGTAGAGGACGCCAAAGCAGAGAAACACGTAAAAAATCCACTTGCGAAAGTTTCTGTGCATGATCCAGGGAGGGGGGCTGCGCCATAGACAGCGGCGGCCGGTGGGGACGCGCGGGCGGGGCGGGGAGCGGGCGGGGGCGGGGGGTCTCGGCGGACCGCTTCAGCCGGCGCTGCGGCTCGGGCGACTGGCGACGCGCGGGCACTCGGCGCGCGCTGCCACCATGGTGAGCCCGGGTCGCCGCCGCCGCCGCCGCCTCCGCTCGCGCCTGGGGGAGTGACCTAGGCTGGGGGCCGCAACCTCGGAGCACGGCCGAGCGATCGCGGGGCCCCACGAGCGCGGACGGGGACCGGGCCCGAGCGCGGCGGCTGGGCAGGCGCTGCCTGTACTGGGCGCAGCCGCCCGGGGCCGTGCGCGCTTCGCCGAGCGCCGCGGCGGCCAATGTGTCCGCACTTGTCGGCCTCCCCAGGTGACTCGCGGTCCCGGCCAGCGAGCTGCAAGGGAGCGAGCGCGCCCCAGGTAGGAGGATCCGCCTCCCGCCCGCCCTCCGCGCCCGCAGCGCGCGCTCTCTCTCTCTCCCTCGCTCCGCGGCTCTCCCCTCCCTTTTCTCCTCCCTCCCCCGTGACACACAGACACATCCACCCCCCGGACCCCCCTCCGCAGGCCGGCGCCCTTCCGATTGTCCTACTAGAACTGGGCTGGGGGAGGGGGATTGGGTTCGCGGGGGGGGGGGGCTCGGGGGAGGGTGCAGCTTGGAAGAGACACCTGCGGAGGGGGTGGCTGCTCCTGCTCCTCTGCGCCCGCCGGGGCGGGGGTGGGGGGGCGGGGAATGGACAATGCGGATCGTGGTGGCCACTCGGCCTCCAGTTTCTAGCGGGGGAGGGAGAGACCACCCAGCCGTATCGCCGTTCTGGCGCGCTTCCCCTCCCCCCAGCAGTGATCCACGCCGGGTCCTCCTGGGCCACACCCTTAGCCCAGGCTGCGGCGCCTTCCCCGAAGACCTCAATCAGAGAGCCCTCCCTCCGGCACCCAGGGTCGCCTCCACCTGCCAGCTCTGCCAGCTCAGCGTGGGGACTGGGGAGGGACGGGCGGGCAGGCCCTGCCAGACGCAGGGGGCGGCTCAGTTGACCTGCCGAAGCCCCGTGCCTAAGCGCCCCGGTAGAGACGGACTGGAGGATGCTGAGGGCTCTTCCCGGATTCTGGGCGAAGCGCCTAGACCGCGAGGGTTCCCTGCCTCCCTCCCACCCCCGGCCCGGCCCCGGCCCCTGCCTTGGTGGGGTCGGTCCCCTGTGCAGGGTCGGGCTCAGCGTTCACGTTCAGCGCCCGGAGCGCCAGGTCGCACGGCCGCGGCGCCCCACACACCTGGAGCGCTCTGGCTCGGCTCCGTCTGCAGTGAGTGGCCGCCAAGGGCCCCACAGACCCTGCTTCCCTGGATCCCTGTCGGGTCCCAGGGGGCAGGACCAGCCGGCGCCTACGCCCGGTCCTGGCTAGGCCCTCGCCGGCTGCCCGGGTTCTCGGCCCTCTGGGGCCGCAGCTCTCAGGGGAGTGGGTGGAACTGGGGAGACCCTAGTCCTGGAAGACCAGCGGGGGCCCTGGAAGTACGGGGGTGAGGCCGGGGTGTTGCTGCCAGTCGCCCTTGGGCCCACCGAGCCAAACTCAGGGGACCTCCAGCTCAGAGCCTACCTCCCCACCCCGCCCCCGCTGCCCCGCTGGACCCCCTGCCTCTGATCCCCTCTTAGTCTTTTCAACCCCCTGAACCTTTGCCATGACCCGGGCGCGGGCCTTTCCTTGGCCCCTCGCTCAGAGCTGGGGAGGTGGGGGGGCGGTGGCTGGGCAGCTGCGCGGAGCGGGGCGGATGAGCGGCCTTCCCAGACGAAAGGGGCACTGGAGACAATCACAGGCAGGGAGACTGGGGCGCAGAAAGAGGTGAAATGACAACAGCAGCCTCGTCTCCGAGTGTCCCCTGCGCCCCAGCGCCCGGGGTTCCGCGACGTAAAGCTGAACTCTGGCAGCCGGCGGGTCAGGGCTGAGCGCTGGCAGCCCGGGCCGGAGCCCGCCGTGGGGGTGGGGAGCTTCCGCGGGAGCCCCGGCCGCAGGCCGATGCTGCCCCCTGGCGGCGCGCCGCGAGGGCTCGGGTGCAGGGCTGCGGGCGCGCTGAGGGCGGCGTCCCCACCCTGGCCCCCCGTCCGCCGGCCACCCCGCACCCCACCGCCGCCGTCTTCAGCCTCGCTGCCCCTTCCTGGGGCGAATCTTCAGGAGCCGTGGGTGTGAGGCGGGGCTTAAATAACTGCGACCGCAGCGGTGACCTGCCTCCACCTCCGGCTGGGACGCAGGGACCCGCGTCACCCACCCGTCCCCTCCGGCCAGGCTGTGAGAGGGTTGGGGCCAGAGGTCGGGAGGCTTTCAGCCTGCGGGCGGGAACGCCTGGGTTCGCTCCCAGACTCGGCCGGCCGCTCGGGGCCGCTCTCCCGGGACGCGGTTGCACAGCGTCCTGCTGCCCCCTGCCGGCCGCGAGAGGGAACCGCAACGCAGAGAAAGGTCTGGGGTGTCCCCCGCCAGGTTCAAGGACAGTTCCTGTGAACTCTGGCCCCCCACGAGGTTCATTTTCCCAGAGGCATCTGACACATGCACACGCACGCATGCACATGCATGTTCCGTGCATGTGTGTGCACACACGTGCGTGCACACTCCCTGTACGTGCACGAGTGCACACGTGTGTATAGGCGTGTGTGGGCACGTGCGCACTCGCACTCACACGTGCATGCGCACGCACACCTGCAGGGAGCAGAAGCCGCTGCCTGGGGCCGGAAGGGTGGCCCTGCTGGGTTCTCCGCAGCCTGGGTTCCCGGGGCTGATCCCCAGGGCTCTGGGGTCTGTGGGACCCCACCTGCCCTTCCTCCCGAATGGGACCGCAGCCCCCGTCTCCCTGAACAGGACGGAGCTAGGCCCTGGCTCCAAGGGCCCCGAATGTGCTGAAGGTGGGGGAGAGGTCGGGTGGGAGGGAGTGGGGGACCCTTCTGCCGTGGGCAGGGCTCTGGTTCCCACTCAAGGTGGAGACCAGCCTATGCCCGAAGGGTGGAAGTGTCCAGAGTCAGGGCACCCCAGGGGCTCCAATGAGTCTCAAGCCACCTTTGGGCTCAGTGCGGCTCAGCACTGTGTGACCTCAGAGCTTTCTGTGTCTGCAGCGGGGGGCTCCCCGGCTCCCCGTGGGGGTGACAATGGCACCCACACTGCCTGGGGACTCGGCCCTCAGCCTCATCACACACACTCGTCCTCTCCTCGCCAGCGTCCTTGTCTCTGCCCCCGTCACTCGCACCCATCGGGCTAGTTCCAGCCCCAGGGCCTTTGCACATACCGTCCCTTCGAGAGCAGGGCTGTGCCCCTGGTTCCCTGTGGCCCCAGCTCAAATGTCCCACGTCAGAAGGGCCCTCGCACCCCCCCCAACACCCGTGCACCGGTATTCTCTACTGTAACAGTTTGCTGTGCCCCCTGTGACCCGAGGGCAATGTGTCCTTGTTTGTTTTCTGCCTGCCACCAGTCTCTAAGCTCCATGGGGACCCTCATGTCCCCTTCGGTTCCTGCTCTAGCCCCAGGGTAAGACCGAATCTGGCACTTAGTAAGTGCTCAGTAAGCAGTTGTTGAATGGAGGAATGGTGTTCCTGGAGACAGCTGGCATCCGTGACCTGCAGCGCGGCAGACCACGGAGACCAGGGACCTGACCTTGGCTCCTTTGAACCTTGAGTTTGACCCCCGCTGCCCTCCCAGCATAAAGTACACCCGATTCCCGCTGCCCTTCTCCTGCATCATTCCTGCTGCTTCTCACTGGTGTCACTGATGGTCATTTCCTGTGCCCACCAAATCCCACTCAGGCTATACTGGTCGTGTATGGAGCTCCACACCCCCCTCACCCCGAGATAAGGAGCACATGGTTGTCCAGCGGGCCTCACACAGCCTTGTGAGGGGAGGCTGCCAGACCCCTGGCCCCGGCAGGGACCGGGAGGCAGAGCGGGGAGCTGGGCCGAGGCCGCGCAGCCGGCCCATCGGGCCCAGCCTGGGCTTCTCCCAGCAGCGCACTCAGGCCCCCGGGAGCTGGGGCCGGCGCCAGGTCAGTGGGGTCCCTGAGTGTGGGGAGAGGCCAGGGGACAAGGGGTGGCCCTGGGCCAGCCCCCCAGGGGGTGAGGCACCTGAGGGGGGGGCCTGAAAAGGAAGGGCATTGGGAATAGAACTCTAAATGGCCCCCTGAGGTGCCCTGCGCTGATCTCAGGGACTGGGACTGTGGCGATAGAATGTCCATGATTATGCCGTGTTACGTGACGACAAGTGGGATTCGGTGGCTGAGCGGCTGACTTTGAATTCCCCCAGAGGGGGTTTACGGGTGGGCCTGGCCCAATCCCACGGGCCTTTGACAGGAGAGTTTCCCGGGCTGGTGGCAGCGGGGAGGGCCCAGAGGCGGGAAGCGCAGAGCGGCCTGGAAGGTGGAGGGTGCCTGTGGTGAGGGGCCCAGGCGGCGCCCTGCAGCTGAGAGCCAGCGAGGACCGGGGGACCTCGGTCCTGCAGCCGCGAGGACCCGACTTCCGCCCCAACTGGCCTGGGCTCTCCCGGGGCTCCAGGTGGGCGCTGGCCCCGTCTCCACCTGGGGCCCACCTCTGAGGCCCCCAGCGGAGGGTCCAGCTCAGGACGCGCTGGACTTCCGACGCCCAGGGCGGGGGTATGGCGAGCAGAGGTGGCTCTGAGCTGTGTGAGGGGTAATGCCCCGCAGGGCGATTCGAAACAAACACAGCGGGATTTGAACACGCAGACTGAGGGGCTCTGCACGGTCGTCGGGCGGAAAGGGGAGACCAGGGAGGGGCCGAGTGCCCAGCGGGCCGGGGAGCATGGACCTGACTTCCCGGGCCCTAGAGAGCCATGGACGGTGAGAGGGAGACGGGGCTCCCACGGGGGGCCCTGGGTGGGGTGTCAAGCTTGCCTGACCCGCTGACCCGGAGGGTCTTCCCAAAGTGCCCGGGGAAGAGACCCAAGAGCGTGCTCCGTAAACGCCCCGCTGGCTCCGGGGCCAGCACGTGGGGACACGCCTCTTTCGGACGGGTGCACTCATGGCTGGACGTTCCGAGTCCACCTCCCAGAGCCTCTTCACACTCGAGGTTTTCCTCCGCCCCCCGGGGGTTCCCGGCCTGTCCGTGGAGGACACGCCCTCGGGGAGGGGCGGCATGGCTCCGGCGCGAGGGGCGGAGCATCCTCCAAGGAGATGTGGCCGGAGCCACGCCCACCTGGGAGCAGAGGCTGTGGGAGGTGGGGGAGTTCCCGAGGAGCCGAGACAGAGCCTCCTGGGAGCCCTCCGGGCCGCCGGCTGCAGCCGCAGCCTCCCCCAGAGTCGGGCAGACAGGCCCTGGCCCTGCCCGGGAGGGAGAGGAGCCCCCAGGGGCAGCTCCCAGAGCCTGACAGGGTCCCCAGGGTGTCGGGGGGCCCCGAGGACCAGCAGTGAGCTAGAGCCAATGTCAGTGCACCAAGAATAAAATGCACAGGCTTCCCTCTGGCC